GTGCGGTGGGCGCATGCGAGCGCAGCCATTTTAGCTTTTGGTGGAGCTGCCTATGGGGCCACGAAGCGCGTGGGGGGTGTGCCGAAATGAGTGCGGGTGGCGCATGCGAGCGCAGCCATTTGGGCCTTCGGTTGGGCACCCTGTGGGGCGACGAAACGTGTGAGGGTGTGCCGAAATGAGCGCGGTGGGCGCATGCGAGCGCAGCCATTGAGGCCTTCGGTGGAGCTCCCTATGGTGCCACGAAACGTGTGAGGGGTGTGCCGAACTGGGTGCGGTGGGCGCATGCGAGCGCATCCGTTTGGGCCTTCGGTGGGGCCCCCGATGGGGCCACGAAACGTGTGAGAGTGTGCCGAAATGGGTGCGGCTGGCGCATGCGAGCGCAGCCATTTTTGCATTCTATGGAGCTCCCTATGGGGCCACGCAACGTGTGAGGGGTGTGCCGAAATGGGTGCATTCGAGCGCATGTGAGCGCTGCCATTTGGTCCTTTTGTGGAGCTCCCCATGGGGCCACGAAACGTGTGAGGGGCGTGCCGAAATGCATGCGGTGGGCGCGTGCGAGCGCATCGATTTGGGCCGTCGGTGGAGCTCCCCATGGGGCCACGAAGCGGTTGCGGGGTGTGCCGAAATGGGCACGGTGGGCGCATGCGAGCGCAGCCATTTTGGGCTTTCGGTGGGGCTCCATATGGGGCCACGAAACGTGTGAGGGGTGTGCCGAAATGGGTGCGGTGGGCGCATGCGAGCGCAGCCATTTGAGCCTTCGGTGTGGCCCCCATTTGGGGCTACGAAGCGTGTGAGGGGTGTGCCGAAATGGGTGCGGTGGGCGCATGCGAGCGCCGCAGCCATTTGGGCCTTCGGTGGAGCTCCCTGTGGGGCCACGAAGAGTGTGAGGAGTGCCGAAATGTGCGCGGTGGGCGCATGCGATCGCAGCCATTTGGGCATTCGGTGGGGCCGCCTATGGGGCCACGAAGCGTGTGAGGGGTGTGCCGAAATGGGTGCGGTGTGCGCATGCGAGCGCAGCCATTTGGGCCTTCGGTGGGGCTCCCTATGGGGCCACGAAGCGTGTGAGGGGTGTGCCGAAAAAGGCCGCGGTGGGCGCATGCGATCGCAGCCATTCGGGCTTTCGGTGGAGCTCCCTAGGGGGCCATGGAACGTGTGAGGGGTGTGCCGAAATCGGTGCGGTGGGCGCATGCGAGCGCAGCCATTTTGGCTTTCGGTGGAGCTCCGTATGGGGCCACGATGCGTGTGAGGGTGTGCCGAAATGTGCGCGGTGGGCGCATGCGAGCGCAGCCATTTTGGCTTTCGGTGGAGCTCACTATGGGGGCACGAAACGTGTGAGGGGCGTGCCGAACTGGGCGCGGTGGGCGCATGCGGGCGCAGCCGTTTGCGCCTTCGGTGGGGCTCCCTATGGGGCCACGAGGCGTGTGAGGGTGTGCCGAAAAGGCTGCGGTGGGCGCATGCGAGCGCAGCCATTTGGGCCTTCGGCCTTCGGTGGAGCTCCCTATGGGAGCACGAAACGTGTGAGAGTTGTGCCGAAATGAGTGCGGCGGGCGCATGCGAGCGCTGCCATTTGGGCCTTCGGTGGGGCCCCCTTATGGGGCCACAGAAAGGGGTGTGCCGAACTGGGTGCGGCGGGCGCACGCGAGCGCAGCCATTTGGGCCTTCGGTGGAGCTCCCCATGGGGCCACGAAGCGTGTGAGGGTGTGCCGAATTGGGTGCGGTGGGCGCATGCGAACGCAGCCATTTGGGCCTTCGGTGGGGCTCCACATGGTGCCACGAAGCGTGTGAGGGGTGTGCCGAAATGAGTGCGGTGGGCGCATGCGAGCGCAGCCATTCGAGCCTTTGGTGGAGCTCCCCATGGGGCCACGGAACGTGTGAGGGGTGTGCCGAAAGCGGTGCGGTGGGCGCATGCGAGGGCAGCCATTTTGGCTTTCGGTGGAGCTCCCTATGGGGGGCGCAAAACGTGTGAGGGGTGTGCCGAAATGGGTGCGGTGGGCGGTAGGCGCATGCGATCGCAGCCATTTGGGCTTTCGGTGGAGCTCCCTGTGGCCACGAAACGTGTGCGGGGTGTGCCGAAAAAAAGGCTGCGGTGGGCGCATGCGAGCGCAGCCATTTGGGCCTTCGGTGGGGCTCCCTGTGGGGCCACGGAACGTGTGAGGGTGTGCCGAAATGGGTGCGGTGTGCGCATGCGAGCGCAGCCATTTCGGCCTTCGGTGGGGCGCCCTATGAGGCCACGAAGCGTGTGAGGGGTGTGCAGAAATCGGTGCGGTGGGCGCATGCGAGCGCAACAATTTAGGCCTTCGGTGGGGCTCCTTATGGGGCCACGAAGCGTGTGAGGGGTGTGCCGAAATGAGTGCGGTGGGCGCATGCGAGCGCAGCCATTTGGGCCTTCGGTGGAGCTCCCTGTGGGGCCACGGAACGTCTGAGGGGTGTGCCAACATGCGTGCGGTGGGCGCATGCGAACGCAGCCATTTGGGCCTTCGGTGGAACTCCTTATGGGGCCACGAAACGTGTGAGGGGTGTGCCGAAATGGCGGTGGGAGCATGCGAGCGCAGCCATTTGGGCCTTCGTTGGGGCTCCCTATGCGGGCACGAAACGTGCGAGGGGTGGGCCGAAATGAGTGCGGCGGGCGCATGCGAGCGCAGCCATTTGGGCCTTCGGTGGGGCTCCCTATGGGGCCACGAAGCGTGTGGGGGGTGTGCCGAAATGGGTGCGGTGGGCGCATGCGAGCGCAGCCAGTTGGGCCGTCGGTGGAGCTCCCTATGGGGCCACGAAGCGTGTGAGGGGTGTGCCGAAATGTGTGCGGTGGGCGCATGCGAACGCAGCCGTTTGGGCCTTCGGTGGAGCTCCCTATGGGGCCACGAAACGTGTGAGGTGTGTGCCGAAATGAGCGCGGTGGGCGCATGCGAGCGCAGCCAATTTGGCCTTCGGTGGGTTCCGTATGGGGCCACGAAACGCGTGAGGGGCGTGCCGAACTGGATGCGGTGGGCGCCCGCGAGCGCAGCCATTTGGGCCTTCGGTGGGGCTCCCTATGAGGCCGCGAAGCGTGTGAGGTGTGTGCCGAAATGGGTGCGGTGGGCGCATGCGAGCGCAGCCATTTGTGCCTTCGGTGGGGCTCCCTATGGGGCCACGAAGCGTGTGAGGGGTGTGCCGAAATGGGTGCGGTGGGCGCATGCGAGCGCAGCCATTTGGGTCTTCGGTGGTGCTCCCTATGGGGGCACGAAACATGCGAGGTGTGGCGAAAATTGGTGCGGTGGGCGCATGCGAGCGCAGCCATTGTGGCCTTCGGTGGAGCTCCCTATGGGGACACGAAGCGTGTGAGGGCTGTGCCGAAATGGGTGCGGTGGGCGCGCGCGAGCGCAGCCATTTGAGCCTTCGGTGGGGCTCCCTATGGGGCCACGAAGCGTGTGAGGGGTGTGCCGAAATGAGCGCGGTGGGCGCATGCGAGCGCAGCCATTTGGGCCTTCGGTGGAGCTCCCTGGGGCCGCGAAACGTGTGAGGGGTGTGCCGAAATGGGTGTCGATGGTGATGACGATAACGGCGGTGATGACGACGAGGATGATGGCGATGACGATGATGGGGATGATGACGATCATGATGATGCTGATGATGATGACGATGGCGATGATGATGACGATGATGATGAATATGGGAGGAGGGAGGGGGCAGCGGGAGGAGGTGAGGTGACGCGGGGCGCTGTCTCTTCAAAACGAGGACCCAACACCACAGGATGGTTGGGGAAAAATGTGGTTGGAGGAGAGGAACACGGGGAGGGGGCAGGGCAGGGCCAGTAGGAACACGGTTTTGTGTTTGGAGAATATCTGGTCCTGGATGGGGGTGATTCCTGTCGTTTGTTTCTGTTGCCCTTCGCCAGGACGGCGCGCATTTCGTGGATGATGGCCTGATCGATCAGCCAGAGAATGGGCCGCACATACATGGGTGCGAAAGGTGTTTCGAACTGGTGTCGTCGAACTTCCCTGGGATGCTGTTCCACGAGTGCGTGTTGAAGAAGGCCGCGGACACCCAGTTCTCAGAGAACCTGGATGGCGTTTTTGAGGCGAGGGATGATGCTGATCTAGTGGCCTTCGGCCTATCCCGCCACCGTGCCGTTGCCATCTTGGGCCCTTCTCGGGGCCGTCTTGGGGCCCTGGGCCGCCTTGGGGCCCTCTTGGGCCGTCTTGGGGCGTCCCCCTTGGGCACTCTCGGGCCCTCTTGGGCCCTCATCGGTTCGGGCTCCCCCTCTTGGGGCCCTCTTGGTGCCGTCTTGGGGCCCTCTTGGGCCGTCTTGGGGCTCTCTTGGGCCTTCTTGGGGTGTCTAGGGGACCCTCTTGGGCCCTCATCGGTTCGGGCTCCCCCTGGGCCCCTCTTGGAGCCGTCTTGGGGCCCTCTTGGGCCGTCTTGGGGGCCTCTTGGGCCGTCTTGGGGCCCCGTTGGGCCGACTTGGGCGCCTCTTGGGGGCTTCTTGGGCCGTCTTGGGGCGGTCTTGGGGGGGCTCTTGGACCGTTTTCAACGCCGTGAAGGCCGACAAGTCCTATATGGTATAATTATACGTTGGTTGGCCCATAGGAATTGGACGATTTTGGCCTCTTGGGCCCCTCTTGGGAGTCCTGTTTGAGGCCTCTTGAGCCGTCTTGAAGGCTTCTTGGGCCGTCTTGGGTCGATCTTGGGCGTCTTGGGTCGATCTTTGGGCGACTCGGGGCCCTCTTGGGCCGTCTTGGGGGCTGCTTGGGGCCCTCTTGGACCGTCTTGGCGCCCTCTTGGGTCCGAAACAGTCACGCGACAAGACGCGGGTGTGCCCAGGGGTACGGCTGGGAGCCCCGGTAGGTTTTGAAATCTGGGCCCTGGCCCTAAAAGTACCCCTCAGGATTGAGGACTGACTGAGGCTCAGGGGATGAGGCACACGACCTGAGGACACGCCCACTCCGTGCCTACAGGCACGGTGGCGGATGATTCAGCTCCCACCAAGGAGGAAGTCAGTGTCACTGAGCAGCTCAGCATTCAAGCTGTGCTCGAGGAGAACTACGAGGTTCACACGGCCAACAGCTGCACGAAGAAGTACGGGAAGAACCCGAAGGCGATGAAGATACGTCCAATAAAACTACCAGATGCCAAGGGCACGCTCAAGCAGTACTTTCCGATACCAGCAGATGACTTCCGCAGGTTGAAGGTGCAGACAGTTGTTGGCACGCATGGGAAAACTTTGAAGATGAGCGGTCCGAAATTGTTTGAGGGCCACGCGGACATGTCTATGCTTAGTCAGGCAAACGTGACCATCAGCAAGTACCAGCTCGACTCGATCAAGAAGACGGTCCCACCCGAAGTTTTGGCATACAGAGACAAGGCAGCTGCGCATTCAGGCCTGACGGCGGCGCCTGAAGATGATGACAGCAACAATGAAGACGAGGATCCCGAGGATTCGGAGGATGAGCATGGCGCTGCCAGTTCCTCGGGGGAGGATGCCCCACCTGCAGACCCCGATCACGAGGCAGAAGAGGCCCGCAAGCCTATGTGCCGCAGCCGCAGCACGCCAACGAAGCCAGGGGTGCGCTCGAAGAGCTTGACGCCTGCGAGCAACAAGGGCGCCAAGGGTCCCAAGCTCAATGAAGCGGAAGTCGTCGAAGTGGACGCCGAGGGCGACGAAGACCAGATGACAGCTACCTTCGGCGACCTTGCTGCGCTCTTCGCTGACCACCCCATGGCGCCAAAGGACGAATGCGCACGGATTGCTGGTGAGAAAGAGAAGCACGGCACGTGTGCTTACTGGATCATGAGGCTCCCTCTCGAGTGCATTGCTGCATCGACTTCTTTCAAGTACCTGCACGCGGTATCTCAGTCTGAGATCTTGAAGCCAATGATCGAGCAGTGCGAGCGCGACACCCTGGATGTGCACCTGCGTCTTGTCAATGAGGCTAAGAATTTTCCAGACGGCAAGCTCTTGCTGCTGAGCTGGGGCCAGGCGAAGGAGAAGATCGAGCAACTCAAAAAGACTGACATGGCTTGGTTGGCAGAAACGCGGGTCTCAGTTCTCAAGGCCTACGCGAAGCACTTCACCGACAAGATCGATGCTGACAAGGATGTGAGGTCCTCCATTGGCCACCTCGCGCGGGCGTTCGCTCCGTTCTCCAATGGCAACCTCCCTGAGTATGACCCAGAAACGCCGACGCTGCTAACGTCCAGGCTGCCCATGGCTGAGACAAAGTCTATCTTCTTGACCTCGGGTGTCGTCGGCCAGCTACTCTCTTGGTTGGACGGTGCCGAGACGAAGGAGGATTTGGTATTGGAGCTGCAGGAGGCCATCGCGTCGCAGTGGACGGTGAGCGAAGACACGATCATGCCTCCAGAGTGCGGGTACTTGATGCAGGACACCAAGAAGGTGTTGGCCGTGCTCGCCGCCAGCATCCAGAAGAGCCTTCAGATCAACACGCCCGTCAGCGTCTTCGACGACGTCAAGCGCTTGCAGGAGGAGGGGCTGAAGACTCTCAAGGGAGGCTCGTCTGTTTTCCAAGTCGTCGGGCAAGGAATCGAGAGGGCGCCGTATTGGAACAGAGCGATCGCAACATTCGGCAAGTCGGCAAAGGCGTTGAAGGCCACCGCCCCGCAGCTGCAGGAGCACATGAAAGCTGCCCTGGAGCTCAAAGACAGCGCGCCCAGCACTGAGGCGTGCGATAACCTACTGGCCATGGCCCAGGCGATCCCCGAATACAATGCAAGCGTTGGCCAGGCCCACGTTCTCGAGCTCGACACGCAGCTCGTTGCGGCCATCAACGCCCACGCCGCCCAGATTTCTTCGGCCATTCTCGCCGAGTGCAAGAACGGCTCGGACGGCGTGGCATCCGCGGGCACGCTCGAGGCATACACGGGCCTCGTGAAGAAGGCAATTGCCAGCTGCTCCCACAATGACGACCTCGTTCGAGCCCAGAAGATGCTGGAGAACACGCCGCGCGAGCTCGCGCAGCTAAAGAGGGCCAGCGACCTCAGCCAGAAGCTGCGCGATTTCAACATCTCAGACGTGATGGCTTCCACCACATTGAAGGATTACTTCAAAGGCCTCGCGCTGCCCTCGGACGACGATGCGTCGCGCACATCGGTCTACGACCTCTTCCTCAAGATTGTGGCGAATGAGCGGTGGAGCGATTACGACGGCAACGACGAGTTCCAGCACATCGAGTTGCTCAAGGCGATGTCCCAGCATGTCCCGTCAAGTCACTCCTCGGCCTGCACTGGAGTTGTGGATCTTCTCTCGTGTGTCGGCGACCTCAGCGCGGCGAGGGCGGCGGTGGAGAAGCTGGGCGACTCTGCGCATGAGGCTGCGGCGTCGTCTGGGTGCGAAGTGGCGCTGACCTCTTTGGATCGCCAGGCGCAGCGGTGCAAGGCGCTCCTGAATAAGAAGCTTAAGGGTTTCGGACATATCACCGAGTCGAGCAAGACTGCGTTCGACAACACGAAGCACTACCTCCAGGAGGTCGCGGAAGCATTGCTGGGGAATACCGCGGCGGATGCAGAGTCCTCGGTGAAGCAGCTGTGGGGTAAGTTTCAGAATGCCGAGGGCCTCAAGCCGTTCGAGGATGGCGCTGGCAAGGCCAACTGGAAGGAGGTGAAGAAGATCTGGGAGGCGGGCTTCAAGGACTGGGACCGCGGCGACGGGGAGAGCATCCTGGATGCGCTCGGCAAGGTGGCCACGGGGAATCGTGCCAATCTTTCCCTCGCCACCGCCTTTACTTTATATAACTGGCCTTCGGTCTATACTGCCGCCGTGCCTGGGTTGTGTGTCAGGGACCACATGGATGCCTCTTGGTGTATATTGGAGGCATTCTGGTGTGCCTGTTGGAAACAATGTTGACGCCGTTCGGTGCGTCGTGAGGACCGCGCTGGGGCCATCTTAGTTTTTGTTGCACCCTTCCCACTGGTGGGCTTCTTGGGCGCCCGCTGACGGTCTGGGAACGCTCCCTTCGGGCCGATGGCCCGCAATCTCAGTTCGAGCTCCCGCTATCGCGTCACCCCCGCATCCGCACGCCCCTCCCTCATTGCCGCCCCCTCGCCCTCTTGGGCCCTTCTTGGAGCCCTCTTGGGCCCTGCTTGGGGCCCGCTTGAGCCCTCTCAAGCCTTCTTTGGGCCGTGATGTGCTCCTCTTGTTTCGCCCTGGGATTTTCTTGGGGTGTTGTTGGGCTGTCTTGGAAGTTGGCGGCTTCCTGGGTCCCGTAACGTGCGAGGAAATCTCAGGCGGGAGCGCAGCTCGTTGGGGCTCGTTTTGGAGTCCATCCTTGCCACCACCACCCCCATCCCCCGCACTTCGAGGCCCGCATGTGGGTACTCTTGGGGCCCTCTTGGGACGCAGGGGCCGCTTGGGCCTCTGGAAGGCACCGTGGATTCGGTGAGTGGTAACGGTGGTGGCTGTGTGAAGGGGTTAGGGCCCAATCCCCCCAGAAAGTGGACGCGTACACCGAAATGTGCGACGTCTTCAAGCAGAAGCCCCAGCCCAAGCTGGTGCAGAATATCAACGAAATGAAGACGGCGGTCGCGGTTGTCGTTGCATCCTCGATGGTGGTCGAGGCCTGCATGAGTGCCGACAGCCAGGACGGCGTGAAGCTCAGGGCGCTCATGAACAAGCCGAAGACGGTGCTCAGGACCCACAAGGTGCAGCCCGAGCTCATGCCGCCCGCCGTGAAGGCGTCGTACCTCGCGGGCATGGCGATGGCGTTCGAGGGCTGATGCCCGAGCATCGCGAGAGGCGGTGCTACGCCTTGAGGGCGGCTAGAGGAGGATGGGAAGTGAAATGAGGTCGGCGAGGAGGAGGGGGAGGAGGGGGGGGGAGGGGGGGGAGGGGGAGGAGGGGGAGGAGGGGGAGGAGGAGGAGGAGGAGGAGGAGGAGGAGGAGGAGAGGGGGGGGAGGAGGAGGAGGAGGAGGAGGAGGAGGAGGAGGAGGAGGAGGAAGAGGAAGAGGAGACGCGGCCGTCCACGCTCGGAGTCCGCGGAGCGCAGCGTCGGGGGTCCTTCGATCCCGATGTTGCGTCGGATATCCATCAGTGGGCTGAGTTTCCTTCCTACGGCTGCCGCCGATTCTCCGCCTTCCCCCCCCGACGTTGGCTGACATGTAGGGGCCCCGCTCGGCTTGAATGCACGGGGCCATCGTCGCCGCAACTTGTCGCCTCGAAATTCTGGTCAGGACGCGTCCCCAAACAAGTCCACAGGCTAGATGTTGTAAACAGAGCGGCACATATCTTTGAGCACGCACACAAAACGGCGCCCACCCAAGTGCATGCAAAATGCAATTTCAAGCGACTTGCTGATCCTCCTCCCCCTACCCTCCTGCGTCCACGCTTTGCAGTGCTCAATGCTCCCCCCCTGGCCCCTTCGCTCCCTTCCTCGCATTCGTGCCACCCCTCCCCCTTCTGCTCCCGCTCCCTCGCTAAATCCTGCCTTTCCCTTCTTCTCGCCCCCTCTGCCGTTGCCCCCGCCCGACTCTCTCGTTCCTCTAGGCCCGCCTCGTGCTCCTGACCCCGTCCGCCCCGCTACACCACCTTTACATCTTTGTTTCTGGTGTCCCTTCCCCCTAGCGCCCTTTTGTTTTTTAACTTGTTTATGCAGTATTAAGATTTCGAGTTTTTTTTTCATGGTTTGCTAAGGGTTTTTGGAGGGTTTTGGCGGAGGTCGCCGCGGAGGGCGTCTGAGGGTTTTTGGAGGGTTTCGCTGTTTTCGCAGCAAACCAAAGTCTAGCGGACCTTGGACCACACAATCCTAAACACCCTTTCTGGTACGTTGATGATGGGATCCCGTTGACTCTTGCAACTTGTTTACAACGAATGCGCGCCGCGCTCAGTCGAGAGCCACATTGTGAAACCGACACGCCCACAAACCGTGAAACCCTTGCAAATGTTTAAAATGAGTTTGCGCCGCGCTAAGCGAGAGCCACATTTTGAAAACCAAGTCGCCCTCAATCCGTGAAATTCTTGCAGCTGTTCAAAACGAATGTGCGCCGCGCTAAGGCGAGAGCCACATTTTGAAAACCAGTCGCCCTCAATCCGTGAAACGCTTGCAATTGTTCAAAACGAGTGTGCGCCGCGCTAAGGCGAGAGCCACATTTTGAAAACCACCCGCCCTCAATATGTGAACTTCTTGCATGTTTAAACGAATGTGCTCCGCGCTAAGGCGAGAGCCACATTTTGAAAACCAGTCGCCATCAATCCGTTAAACTCGTGCAAGTGTTTAACACGAATGTGCGCCGCGCTAGGGCGAATGTATGAAACATGTGTCACTTGTTTATGCTTGGGAGCCGTAAATGGTGAGGAGTGTCAGGCGAAACGCCCGGCCCGCCCTAAAAACTAACCTCGGGGTGCGACAGGGAGAAGTTATTCATAAGGAGAAGAAATTTAGGAGGAGGAGGAGAAGGAGGAGAAGGAGGAGGAGGAAGAGGAGGAGGGGGAGTAGGAGGAGGTGGAGGAGGAGCAGGGGGAGGAGGGGGGGGCAGAGGATGATGAGGAGGAGGAGGGGTATCTCGAGCAGGGGCACGAGGAGGGGGGCCGAGAAGTAAGGAGTGTGTGATTGTGTGTGGTGGTGGGGGGGGGGGGGGCGCAGCGTTTTCGTTGCGCTGCAGGGGTTGCCGTCCCGGGCCTTTCGAGGTCGCTTCTGCGGCGGCTTGGGCGTGTTGCCGTGGATGCCGTCGGGGCGTGCTGCTCTCTGTTTCCTTCCGCGGCCAGGCAGCCCGCCTTCGCGTGGGTTTTTACTTTCGACGTGGCCACGGGGAGAGAATCGAGGGGAACAGGGAGCGGACCGAGGTATAAGATGGAGGTCCTCCTCCTCCTCGTCCTCCTCCTCCTTTTCCTCCTCCTCCTGCTCCTCAACCCTCCTCCTCCTCCTCCTTCTCCTCCTCCTCTTCCTCCTCCTCCTCCTCCTCTGCCTCGAGGGTACCCCAATGTTCTTCGTGTTTGTTGGATCTTCTTATGCATCCTGGGGGAGGGTGTCCTCGAATGTGTTCAGTTTGACCGGCGGAGGGTCTCCGGCGATCGCAGGATGGATCAAGGGGGCGTGGCTTAGCGACGCGCCCCGATCCCATGGGGAATCGCGGATGTCCGCCGCCGAGCGGGGCGGCCCTGGCCGCAGTTTGGGGAGGGCACCTCCCCCGATGCATGGATTTGGCGACCGCGCGCCAAATCCATGGATCGCTAATCCATGTCTGCGCGCTCCCGAAGGCTGACCGGCGGAGGCTCTCGTGCTTTTCAAGGATGTTCTCCTCTCCTAATTCGGGCCAGCCTTGGTGAGAAGGGGCATGAAGACGAGGACGGGGGTGGAAGGCGGCGGAAGACGAGTGGGAGCAACGAATACAAGCGTGATCTCTTGGTCGGACCGATTGTGAGTGGCCTCGGTAGCCCGTGCTGGCAACTCCAGGCGAACCGCGCTGAGCGCGGAGAACCTCGCCAAGACCGCAGCGCTCGATCCAGGCGCAGTGGGACGGGAGAGCAGCAGGATGGGGCACGTCTTTGTGACCCAGAAGTGTTCAGGGCCGATGCTGTCTGGTCGGTCTTTGACACAGCTGAGCTCTAGAGGTCGAAGCCTTCTATCATCGTCGTTCTGCCTTTTGTCCCCCCCACCCCGTTGCCCCTCCCACCCTACCGACTCCCCATGATGGCCCCACGGGGTGCCAGGATCGCCCCAACAACCCAACCCTCTCGTCTCACGCTCCCTCTCCTGACCTTTGTCCTCCCTCGTGCAAAAAGCATGGCATGCGCGCCACTCGTTCTTTTTCCTCGAGCGCATGCAGGCGGGCGTGTAAGACCCAGCCAGTGTTGCATCCCATCCTGGACTCATCCTGGTTGGCATTTGATGTGATTGGGCCGGACACGATGGACCGCGCTGAGACACGCGGACGGACAGAGTCGCGTCCAGATGGCACATTGGCAAGGGAGCTGTAGCAGTGCACCGCCGCCGTGCCGTCCGCTAAGGCTGATCCGGGCCCAGCTCATTCTTCGGTCGGCGGCGAGCGAAGGGGGGGAAGTGAGAAGGAGAACGCCTTCTCGGACGGCGGCAGGCCTTCTCCGAAGGCCTCTGGCCTTGCGAGAGGTTTTCTGCGTCTGCGGGGAAGGCTCAGGGAACCTTTCGTGAGGCCCGGGGGGACTCCCGAGCCTTCTGAGAAGGCCCGCCCCCTCTTGCTTCCCCCCTGGCTCGCCGCCGATTCGGGCGTCTGACAAGAAAGTCCGAGAGTCCTCGCACAGGATCATCTAGGCCTCCTGGATGGGGCCGGTGCAGATGGGGTCAGAGGCTCGCGCCGCGTCGTCGATGCATCAGCGATGCGGCTCAATGCGGATCCCGATTTCCTCCACGCTGGCGTCGCCGATGCATCGCCGATGTCGCCGATGCATCGGCGATGCATCGGCGATGTATCGCCGATGTATCGGCGACACGGCGCGATCCTCCGACCCCATCTACTCCGACCCCATCTAGGAGTCCTCGCACAGGTTCAACGCTTGGCAATCTGCGCAGGCCTCTGATCCGCCCTTCCAAGGCCGAGTCCAGACACGAAGCTTCCACAACAAGAACTTGATCGCGCGCGAAGCGCGCGCGATGGCTTAGTATGAATGCAGGATCTATGTTTGTATTCATACTTGTGTCTACGAGTATCTGTATACGTATATGTAGATCTACAGGTATGTACCCTCATCATGTCACGCCGCTCGGTGCCCACACTTCCTTTCACTGGGTCCCCTGCTTTGGCTTCACCCGACGACGGCCTGATGCGCCGCGCCACGCGTCGTCGTGTAAGTTTAAACGATCCGCGCGTTGCTAGAAACCAACGCCTGGGTCGTCACGTTGCGAACCTGCCGTGCGCGGTTCGGCTGACTTGCTGTGCGCCACTGGCGGGCCGCGATTTCTGTTTCGGCCCTTCGCGCTGCCCGGGACGGAGAAGCAGTATCAACGACGCGTTGCCAGAGGTGGTTCGACAGCGTGTTGTTCCTTTCTGGTCTTGTGCGGAGGCCTGGCGCTCCTGAATCAGTGGCGCGCGTACGGAATCGGTCTCGGTAATCAGCAGCGGCGCGTCATCAGAGTCGCGTTTGTCCCCCCCCTCCCCCCCTGGTTGCCCCAGGATCCGGAGCCGCCCCAGGCCCCAGGCCATCCCTCTGCGCGCCGTGCTCGCCTTAAGTCGGGCCTGTCCCCCTACAGGGGGATTTTCGACGAATGATAAAAAATACTCCAAACATAACAAAAAATAGTTCAAAAATAGTCTGGGGACTAATGTAACGTTTTTTTTTTGTTTTACCTTTTTGGGGTATTTTGGGGCTATATTTTTTGTCCGTCGACAATCTCCCTGTAGGGGAACACGCCCGACGTAATGCTCGCCCCGCGGGCCGCTCCTCCCTCCGCCCGCCTCCCCCGGGGGCCCTCGCCTCGGGGTGCGGGAGCGTGGGGTCCCAGGCCTCCCAGGTGGGGCCAGAGCGGAGGGGGCTGGAGGCCGCGGCGTCGCATAGCCCTCCCCCTCCTCCTCCCCCTCCCCCTCCTCCTCCTCCTCCTCCCCCTCCTCCTCCTCCTCCTCCTCCTCCTCCTCCTTGTCGTCTCCAGGAACTCCAATCCGATCCAGTTACCGCCGCACCGCCGATGCATCGGCGACGCGGCCGATGCACCGCCGATGCCGCTGGCGTCGCCGATGCACCGCCGACGCATCGCATCGGCGATGCGACGCGATCCTCCGAGCCCAGCGTCTCGGACCCCATCTGTGAGACCTCTCGGAGCACAGGATGGCAGATGTGTGAAGCCAAGCACCCACCTCGCCCTCCTCCAGTGTCCGTTTCCCCGTCTCCCTCTCTTTCTCCCTCCTGTATTCCATGCTATTCCAAATTACCTTTCAGGATGTTTCCCCGGTTCAGTTTTGCACCAGGGTGAGTTGCTTTCTGCCCTGGGTTCCTCTGAACGACATTCGCCCGCAATCAAGATAGTACACGGTATTGCAATTTAGTCAAATGCATACATGTGCAATGCAATAGCATAAGAACACATTGGATTTCATGAGCTGGTGTAACGCGTGTTAGTTCAAAACAGCGCATCTCATAGCACGTCCGTGCAACGCAACGTTGCTCAAAGCGACGCGGCGCAACACACTGCAAAGGAAGCTAAGTTCTGCACGACAAGGTAGACAACGCAATAAAAGAAGACTCAACGCCACGGTAACAAGGCAGACCAGTTCAACAGTTTTCCGGACATAGCGAGCCTGCGCAGCGAAAACCACATCCACCCACCGCGAAGCAATGCATCCCAATGCTTGCTAACTGTACAGCGCTGCACAGCAGCATGAAACATAGCCAATCAAAGTACCGTAAACTTGTGGCTCAGGATTTGATACTTTGCTGTGATCAGCTGTGTTGTAGCCGTTCTTGGACTTCAGTCAGAAGATAACTCCTAAGAGAGGGCTGCCCCGTGTCCAATAACTCTCGGCCCACACCCTCCCGTTCCTACGCACAACCGCAGGACGCCCTCGAGGAGGAGGACACGGCGGAGGAGTTAGTGGATGAGCATGAGGAGGAGGCAGAGATATGTGGGACCCCAGAGGTTCGGCGAAATTCCCGACCTCCGGAGGAGACGCAAGAGTTCAGGAGCTCCAGGAGTATGAGCAGGACGTTCTGGAGGCTGCAGCCTGCATAAGGCCTTGGAGGAGGTCGGGAAGGCCCAGGAACATGATATATTGGTTTGTGGACGACTATCATTGGAAAGAAAGTGTGTTGCCAAACAATTTCCAGATGTCGTGAACAACGTGTAAACATGTCTTTCACATGTTCGAGAAGAACATGTTTTGGATACTTGGAGCATTTGTCAAACATGCTGAACACATTTCAAATTCAATGATCGGATTGTCAGGGTGTCCACTGCCATGGCATCCACAAAGATCGGTTTGGAGCGTCCTGGATTATTCCTCTCGGAGCGCTCTTGAGCGGCCGTGGCGCCCGATGCATCCTCCGGACCCCCCGGGACTTGCGGAAATTTCCGATCCATCCCGCTTTTGTTATGTCACGATTTTGGCCTCATCTCAGGAATGCGAGAAGGAGGCGGAGGAGGAGGAGGCGGAGGAGGGGGAGGACGGAAGAGAAGGATGGAGGAAGACGGAAGAGCAGGAGGAGGGAGGGGGAGGAGGAAGAGGAGGTGGAGGAGGAGGAGGAGGAAGAGGAGAAGGAAGAGGGAGGAGGAGGAAGAAGGGGAAGAGGAAGAGGAAGAGGAGGAGGAGAAGGAGGAGGAGGAGGAGGAGGAGGAGGAGGTGGAAGAGGAGGAGGAGGAGGAGGAGGAAGTGGAGGAGGAGGAGGAAGAAGGGGAAGAGGAATGGGAGGAGGAGGATGAGGAGGAGCAAGTGGAGGAGGAGGACGAGGGAGAGGAAGAGGAGGAGGAAAGTGAATGCTCGCGGAGCAGTGAGATGACATGGGCGCGCGCACGCACCGGAAGACGAACTCCACGAGACACCACGGCTGATAAGACAACTTCTAAGAATTGAGGGAATGCACAATATCATTAACTCGGGCGTGTCCCTTACAGGAGGAATACTCAAAACTAATCAAAATATAGTCTGGGGACAATGTTTTCTATTCTATTTATCCTATTCTGAATATTTTGTGTTTTTTTCATGCTTCGCCACAAAAATCCGTCTGTAGGCGGACATGCCCGACCTAACAATATCACGGCCCGACCAGGAACTATTGCTACCGTCACAACGCACACCAGCAAGTATTGCAAAGCCACGCCCCACCACTTGGAAACAGCATCGACAAAAAGATTCAGGAAACGCCCTTCACCTCATTGGCCGAACCTCATGTTCCTCGGCTTTTCCCCGCACGTGGAATACATCTCCTTAGCAACGAGACGACGTGGATGAGCACTCGCACGCACTGGAAGACGAACTCCAATACGGCCGACAAACGCAACCTCTTAGAAACAAGCGTTTGTGAAAGAGCACGGCCCCGCCAGGAAATCGTGTAACCAGCACAACACACATCTGGGAACGACAACGAAGAACAGACCTCGTGAAACTTCATGGCCCACCACTCGGAAGCAGCATTGACAACATATTTCGGAAACAACCGTTCACCATATTGGACCTACGTCTCCAGAGCATGAAACACAATGATTATATCCCCGTGCGTGAGCAACAAGTTGAAAGATAACCGGTTACCAGCCAGCTCGAGCAACATATCGATGGCGGGGGAAGCCACTGACCGCGGGCGACTCCGACCCAAAACACTAGTACCACTACGTGGATTAACATCGTGGAATTGAGGCGTGAAACTGCAGGAATGCGCTTCAGACCCTATGAGTATCTCTCGAGCGATGTTAAGCCAACTTCGTACCAGACCTAGCACAGTGAAACCGCACTCAACGAATTCGTCCAGTCTCGCCATCCGACAGTTGCTTCAACGACAAGGTCGCGGCAGGAATCGGGCCCCCCCAAGCGCCACGTGAAGGCATTGGG